TTTTTTAAACATTTTTTTTAGTTATAGGTGGATACAATATCTTTATTTTATTTTTATGTGGTGCTGAGGATTGAACCCAGTGCCTCATGCATGTGAGGCAAGCACTCTCCCTCTGAGCCACAACCTCAATAAAGCTATTTGAAACAAAGCAAAACAAAGCAGAAATAGCAGTTGCTAAAATCCAATACCCATTCCTGATTTAAAAAAAAAAAAAAAACTTAGCAAACTTAAATAGAAGTAAACTCCCAAACTTGTTAAGGAATGACATGACATCCACCAAAGAGCCAAGGGTGGTGGCACACGCCTGCAGTCCCAGCAACCCAGGATATTGAGGCAGGAGGATCACAAGTTTGAGGTAAGTCTCAGCAATTTAGGGAGGCTCTAAGCAACTTAGTCAGACACTGTCTCAAAGTAAAATATAAAAATAAAAAGGGTTTGGGATGTGGCTCAGTGGTAGAGAACTGCTGGGTTCAATCCCCACTACTGGGAAAATATTTTTTTTTTTTTAAAGAGAGAGAGAGAGAGAATTTTTAATATTTATTTTTTAGTTCTCGGCGGACACAACAACTTTGTTGGTATGTGGTGCTGAGGATCGAACCCGGGCCGCACGCATGCCAGGCGAGCGCGCTACCGCTTGAGCCACATCCCCAGCCCCCGGAAAATATTATATATATGTATATAGATAGATAGGTAGATATTTTAATATATATAATAAATATGTGTGTGTATATATATATATATATATATATATATATATATACCTAAAGCATATAGCCAACATCATCCCTCCTATTGTTAAATGTTAGAAGAATTCTTTTTAAAATTGGGATCAAGGCAAGGATGTTTACTATCTCTACCTCTATTCAACATTACACTAGAGATCTTAACCAGGATATGGAGAAAAGAAAAGTAAAAAGATATAAAGAAAAGAAATAAAACTGTCATTATTTATAGAGGAAATAATTGTGCATGTAGAATCTACACATTATTAGAATAAGAAAATTTAGAAAGTTGGATGAATATAAGATCAAAAGGCAATCACATTTTCTTATACAAACATGTTTAAGAAGCATGATTTTTAAAATATACATTTATTCCAAGCAAAAAAAAAAAAAAAAAAAAGAAAGAAAGAAAGCAAACAATGTGTTCACAACGGTATGGCTAGCCAGGTGCAGTGGTACACGTCTGTGATCCTAATAATTTGCATTACTGAGGAAGGAAGATTGCAAATTGGAGGCCACCTTCTGCAATTTTAATGGGGCAGTGTCTCAAAAAATGAAAAGAACTGGAGATATAACTCAGTGGTAAAGTGCCCTGGGTTCAATTCCCAGTACCAAAAACAAACAAAAAACTGTATGGATAAATCTGGCTGTGGTGTACACCTATATTTCCAGCACAGGAGTCTGAGGCAGGAGGATCACTTGAGTTGGAGCATTAGAGACCAGCCTGGGAAACATAATGAAAACTGTGTCAAAAWAATAATAATAATAATACATTTACAAAAAAATCCATGCTTGCTGCTGTGGTGCAGGCCTGTAATCCCAGCAACTCAGGAGACTGAGGCAGGAAGAGCACAAATTTGAAGCCCAGTCTCAACAATTGAGCAAGACCCTCCAGAAACTTAGTGAGACACTATTTAAAAATAAAAAGTACTAGATCTGTAACTCAGTAGTAAAGTGCTGGGTTCAATACCCAATATCCTCTCCAACACACACGAAAAAGAATGTAGGAGCATGTGAAACTTTATTTAATACTTTAGAAAATACTTAAATACCCCAACACTGGGGGAAAAAAACTAAATAAATGAAGATATACAATATATTCATGGATAAAAGAGTTATTATTACAAATATTCAATGTAATCTTATTAAATACTCAATAGGATTTTATAAGAAATTTTTGATAAGCTGTTTCCAAAATTTATAGAGTAGAGCAAAGGCCCTCCAAAATAGCTAAAATGCATCTGAAAAATGGGACATATGCAGATATTAATGTTTATTACAAAGTTATGGAAATTCATAAGGCATAGTATTAGAAATTCATAAGGCATAGTATTAGAAAGATAGAAAGGCATAGTATTAGAAAGATTTAATACATCAGAAATAGACCCACGAATATATGGAAACAATATACAACAAAGATGTTTAAAAATAAAGCTATAGAAAAAATATATCAGGCTTGAGATGACACTAAAAATCTGTGGGTCCCAGAAGCTTGAGAAGCTGAGGCAAGAGGATCGCAAATTCAAAGCCAGCCTCAGCAAAAGCAAGGCACTAAACAACTCAGTGAGACCCTGTCTCTAAATAAAAATACAAAATAGGGCTGGGGATGTGGCTCAGTGATTGAGTGCCCCTGAGTTCAATCCCTGGTACCCCCCAAAAAAATCTGTGGGGAAAGATAGACTACTCAATAGGAAAATTGGTTATCCATATGGATAAAAATAAAATTAAGCCATAATTCACTGAACCCAGATACAAGTCCTGACAGATTAAATATGGAAAGTAAAACTGTCTACCTTCTAGAAGAAAATACAGGACATAATCTCCATTATCTGAGAGTATGGGTAGATTTTTTTATGTCCCCAAAAGCACTAACCATAAAAGAAGAAATTAATAAATTCAACTGTTTAAATTAAGAACTTCTGTTCACTTAAGGCACCATAAAGAAAAAKATTGAAGCCACAGACTGAGAGATTTGCAACATGTAACTGATTAGTGTATAGAATAAATTAAACACTATAATTTTCTGGGTTAAAATTGAACACACATGTGTTTTAACTCCTTCCTGAAACACCCTCTAAAACTATAGTAAAATGGATGTTTACAACATAAAGTCACAAGGATGGTGAGAAAGAAAGAATAATGGCAAGAAAATTTTGGAAGATGAAAGTATGGTAGATAAATAGTAACTGGTTTAGCAGATCTGAGAAAGCTGAATCCAAAGCCAGCAATAGGAAACCCCAGACATAATTCAATTTAAAACTGCAGAATTTCCAAAAGCCTCAGGAATTGGTAATCCTAGGCCTCTCTGGAACCAAAGATGGGACAAGACCAAGGCTAAAGCAAGGATTATTTGAAAGCCTTTAAGAAGCAGTTAGACCCACTAATCCACGCTTCTATTCCATGCCAAAGGGTAACGGCCCACCTCTGTCTCTGCAAAAGTCACAGGCTTATTTTTGGCAAGGATCTCAACACTGGGAATACAAGTTGCGGACAGGGTACCACACTTAAAAGCAGGTAAAACTCCTTATACTGAATGCTAAAGCCCCAGCAGCCCTCTTCTATCTAGGTTCTCAGAACACTGGCAGCTTGGTTATTGCCCTTAGGCCAAAGATTGAAGAAGACTCTTCTCAGTCCAAAATGAAAGACATACAGACACTGCATTGGAATTTTTAAAAACAGTTCAGCTACATCATCCCATGGTGATTCATACAGTTGACAAAGCCCACCCACAGTTCCAAACCTTTGATAAGCTCTTTTACTCTACTACATGTAAACATAAGTAAAGACTGCAGAACTTTGAGGAAAGCCTCTAACAAAAAAATTGATGATGTCTATGAGTTCTTCTAAATAACTGTTTTTGTATTTGTGTGTCTATGTCTGAGTGCATAGGGATAGGTGTATATGGGTGTGTAAGGTTCAGTTAAGTGCTAAATCATTGGATCTCTGCATTTATGTCTCCCATATTTTGCCCTCCACCTACACAGGAATGTGACTGTGCTGGATCCACCCCCAAAACAGTGGAAACTCAGCCAGGAACAGTGGTGCATACATGTAATCCCAGCTACTCAGAAGACTGAGGCAGGAGGATCACAAATTCAAGGCCTCAGCAACTTAGTGAGACCATGTCTCAAAATTAAAGTTAAAAATGGCTAGGGATGTTAGTTCAGTGTAAAGATCTCCTGGGTTTAATCCCTAATATTGCCCCCCAAAACAACAATAAAAAACCCCTCAATGTCAGCTGAGCACAGATGATCCCAGAAGCCCCTGAGCTGAGGGGTTTTCCAGGTTGATCGAAGGTCTGAAAACCACCAGATCGCAGCCCTAGCCAAGGAAAAGGAAGCCTCTGCCCTTAAAACCATAAAAAGCAGGAGGAGTTGGTAGTAGTGTCACTATCCCAGCACCCATTGGGTAGTGGTCCATTGTATGGAAGCCCTCCCTGGTGTTTGACTTTGCTGGGTGTCCTATACTTGTGACACAGCTGACTTTTCAGACTAGCTACCTACAAAGACCTGTGGACCCAAACCTTACATTCTGCCCTCAGCTAAGGACAAGGGGCCCCCAAAGGAAGGTCTTAATCTGAGTTTCTACAGATCTAGCCCAACCAGGAATGATGGGCTGAGATTAGGAGAACATCAAGAAGCAGAGAGAACTAGGGCTCAGACCAAGAACAGGAAAAAGATCAAGGTAGGATGAGAATGAGGGCAGAGGAAGGGTCAATACTGAGTCATGATCAATGTCACAGCAGAATCAGAGTTGGTCAGAGACAAGGAATTAAATTTTAAAAGAGACATCCCACCAACCCCACCCTTCAGCCCATTTATGATGCAAAATTCTCAGAGAGCCCTCCCTGTCCAAGAAACCTGTATAAGGACATACAGCATTTCTCAATTCTCCAGAGGCCTACTGGCCCTGTTGGAAGAGACTCAGGTCCTGTTCCCAGGTAGCACATAGTCCAGAAGAAAGAGAACAGGAACATTCAGCTCTGACCTTCAAGAGCTGGCAGTCAGGAAATTACAGAAATGAGAAGGTCAGAAAATTACTCTGACTAGGAGCAAAAACCTGGCTCCAAGCCCTAACCTCAGATGGGGAGGAGGGGGAGGGAATAATTCAAACAAGAAACTGTGCCAAGGAATAAAGACTGGCATAGGAATCCCTCTTGCATAGAGAAGATTGGGAACTACCAGAGCCGAATCAAAAAGGGTTGGATCTAGGTCTAGCAAGGCCCCAGAGCTGGAGTCTCTACACACCTAGCCACTTCTCCTCTCTCCCCTTACCCAGGGTCTGACTCAGACTATGGAGCGCCATGTGGACCCTGAAGCCCTGCAGAAGATGATCAAATGTGCTACCCAAGACTATGGCTATAAAAGTTCCATATCAGGTCATCCTTACTTTCCTGAGAAGTACTGGCTGTCTCAAGAGGAAGGTAGGGCCCCACTTTTCACTCTACTCTGACCCCAGAAGAAACCCCAACAGTGACCCCCAACCTGAATTCCACCTATGACCTATACCTGTTCCCTAATTAACAACAAATCCAACTTAACTCTCAAACACCTGTCCTGACCAGGCCTCCTTGCTTTTTGGAATTTCTCTCTCTGGAAAAGGAGAAAAAAGAAAAAAGGAAAAAAAAAAAAAAAACACAACTGGAAAAGCCCTGGATTCTAATCCTTACAGAGATGGAGAGAATATTAACCTGTACCACACAACCTCCTCAAAGTGTTCAGATGCCATCTTCTCCCATCATTTTTTTTTTGAGGGGGAGGGATACCAGAGATTGAACTCAGGGGCACTCAACCATTGATCCACCTCCCCAGCCCTATTTTGTATTTTATTTAGAGACAGGGTGTCACTGAGTTGTGAGTTGCTTAGTGCCTTGCTATTGCTGAGGATGGCTTTGAACTCACAATCCTCCCATTGCAGCCTCCTGAGCCTCTAGGATTACAGATGTGTGACACTGCATCCAGCTCACCTCACATCTTCTTAGCAACACTGCTCCATCCATTCTCTCCATTTTTCCTGCACCCACTATCTCTTTCCCTGAACCCATAACATTTTCTAATTTTTCCTGCATAAAAATTCTCATTTCTGTCCTTCACAGCCAAAATTCCCAGAAACACAGTCAATATTCTTTGTCTGTACTTCCTCACCCTTCATTTATCCCTAAATGAGAAATTATCTTTCCTCTTTGCGTAAGTGTTTATGATCTGTCTCCCAGTCCAATCCAAAAGAGGTCAATAATCTTCTCTAATTCATATCTGTTCCTCCTTTGCTAAGGGGCTTCAGAGGTACCAGTTTTCCTAGTTAATTGGTAATTCCCAATTGAAATTAAGAATTCACATTTCCTACACTCAAACATTAAAATTGCACTCGTGTGTTTCTAACTTCTAAATCATGGGATTTCAATGTACCCTCTGAGACCTACCCTAAGCACTTCACTCTTCTGACCACTCTTTGCTTCTTGAAATTACTTCCACATTTGGCTTCTCTGATGCCTCACTTTCCTAGGTCTCTTGTGTATACACTATGGAAACACGGAGTCCTTCAGGGTGCTATTGAGAGTTCTTTTCTCTCCTTGCTCCTCCCCCAATGCCAGGTTATCTAATCCATAGCTGTAATTACTGGTAGTTCCACATTTGTATTTCCAGCCTTGACTTCTCCCCAGAATGCCTCTCAACTTTACCTGGATGTGCCCAAAAACCTCAAACTCATTATGTCTAACCCACCAACTCAGAATTCCAAATCCCAACTGGCCACACCCTCTCCTCACCCACCTCCTCTCCCTCTAGGACTTCTTCATTCCTGTCTATCACTGTTGGGGAATGAATCACAGAGGATCTTGTAGGTCAGGTTTAGGTGATAGATAAGGACAGTGTTAAAGGGTTTTAACTACGGAAGGGTCTTGGTCAAATTTTCATTTTACAGCTTCTATGTTGAGGTTGGACTATAGGTCTTCAAAAATTAGGGAAGGAGATCAGTGGGTTAATCATAATAGCCTGTTTACATGCCAGGCATTGTTCTAAATGTTTTATGTAGGGGCTGTTAATGGTCCTCAGTGGTAGAGCACTTGCCTGACATGTACAAGGCCCTGGGTTCAGTTCTCCATATAGAAAAAAAAAATAGAAAAGAAAAGTTTTACATAGGTTAACTCATTTAAACCTCATAACAACCCTATGATATATTTTCACCCCATTCTGAAGTTGAGAAAACAGGAAAATTAATTTGGTCAGTCTCACACATTAACAAATAATTAGCAGAACTGAAATCTGAATCCAGGCAATCCATTCAGTTAAGCATGACTTTATGTATTACCTCTAGGTTAAGGCACTACAGAGATAAGGAAGTGAAATCATGGGGGAAGGGCTAGAAGAGGGGATAGATTTCAGCAATTTTAAGGAAAAAGAATAGACATATCTTGAAGCTTGGATGGGAGAAGTCCCCATTTCCAGGTTGGCTCATTAAAAAAATATATCAGGACAAAGAATGATTAGCACAATGGACATGCAGAAGCTTGTCTTATGTGGGACATGGGCTTCATCTCAATGTCAAAAGACAAATGAGGACTGGGGTTGCGGCTCAGTGGTAGAGTTCTTGCCTAGCATGTGTGAGGCACTGGGTTTGATTCTCAGCACCACATATAAATAAATTAATAAAATAAAGGTCCATTGACAATTAAAAAATAAAATGACAAATGAGGACAGGATGGGCTTGGGACTCACCTGAAGAATGTAAGTAAGGATCAGCTTATTGCTGGAGATCAGAAAAGGAACTTAGGGGGCTGATCCTTAGTGGAGTAAGGAATAACACTGAACACTGACAACTCCATCCCCCCCGCCCCCATGAAGAAGACAAATGCCTCTCAAGCTACATGGACAATGACCGGTGCAGCACATGGAGGACAGGACCTTACAACTGTGCCTACTGGAATAAGTATACCACCTGCCTTCCCCGACTGCCTAAGGTACCTACTATGCCCACCACAAATGTCTGGGTTGGGGACACACACACACACACACACACACGCACACACACCACCTCCCAACCCATGGTGACTGATTTTTCATCATTAGTTCCTCATTCCTTTCCCACCAACAACACACCAGAGCTATTCCACAACTGTGAAACTAGGGTTTGTATTTTTTAACTGAAAAGGGAACCTGGAGCTGGGTTCCAATCTCTGATCAGGCTCGGTAGGGACATGACTGGTGTGCATTCTTGGCATGCTACCTTCTCCAAGCTTACCAACTGATCCATCCACACCCGATCTGGCCACTGTGACACAGGGGCTGACTCAGGAGTCAATAATAAGCTGGATCTTCCTGACCCACCTCCCCTCCCTTGTGATGTGAGCAAACAGCAGGATAGCAAGGCTACTCAGTTGCAGTGCAAACATAGGAGACTCTCCCCAGGAGGTAGGAGGGAATCCCATCAAAGGCCTAGGTAGCTGGCAGAAATGGAAGATGACCCAAGGGCAGAGCGAACATTTTGAATTAGAACTTCCTCAAGAATCAGAATTTTTCAAAAGTTCCCCCAGGCGATTCTGATGGGCAAGTATTATTGAAAGTCCTCTATTAGACAGCCAGGCACAACTAGACAGCCAGTAGTAAAATTAAAGGCAAATACTGAGGCAAGATTGCAGAGGCCCAGGCCAAAACCCCTCCTCCATCCACATCCTCTCACTAGCCCCGCCCCCTCAGTCGGAGTAAATGCGTTGCCCAGCTACAACCCCACACACCCTGGAAAGTTAGGGGAGCTGCTGACCGCAGGGAAAGGCTCAGCCTGGCAACAGGTCTAGGTGTTCTGAGAGGGTCCCCAGAAGCAAACATTTCTTCGGGGTCACAGCCTTAGGTAGCATGTGTGTCATTTCCAGGAGGCTGGGATGGAGACTGTAGTTCGAGGAATGCCGTTGGAGTGCCCCTCTAAGCCGGAGCGCCTCAATGCTTATGGTAAAGGGTGGTGGCAGTGTGGAGAGAATGTTTATTGAGAGGGAAGGGGGAGACCGAAGGGGGGCCGGATGGGGATCTGGGGGACAGAGCAGAGGCCGAGGATCCTGAAGAAGGTGTAACTGTGTCTATTTGTTCATTTTTATTTCTGCCTCTCCCTGTCTCTGGCCCTGCCTTTTCTCATCCCTGTGTCTGTCTTTGGGTCTCCTGGGCTGTGGACCCGCGGGCGAAGAGCGCGAAGTGGTGGTGAACATGCTAAACTCGCTGTCTCGGAGGAAACAGCCGCTGCCTCAGATCACTCCCCGTTGCGGGTGCCTGGATCCGCTGCCAGGCCGCCTGCCTTACCAAGGTTACCAAAGTGCTTGCTCCGGCCGCCACTACTGTCTGCGTGGGTTGAACTGCTACTCCGTTGGGGACGCTTGCACTGATCGCCGCCTGCGGCCTGTGTGCCCRGAGCTTCCGAGTGTAAGGTTCGCAGGGCTCTGCCCACCTCGGCCGGACTCCGCCCCCAAACGAGCCTGGCCCCGGAGTCCGGCCAAACCTAGCTGCACGCGCTGCATCCCACCATATTTCTAACCCAGTTCAGACTCTGCGCCAGCACCCCCGCCAGCCTGTAGCCGGGCTCTCTCGTTTTATAGGGCCCCAGGAAGTAAGTGAACAGCTGAGGCAGAGAAACTTCATGAAAGGTTTCCCCAAATATCCGACCCTGTCCCTCCAGAACTGCGGTCAGATCAACCTGGTGCCTCTCAGGTTCTCAGGAGGTCCTGCAGAAGGGTTTTTTGAGGATTCGAAATCCTGCATATCAGTTCCATCCGCTTTCCACACAAGCTAGCCCTGCCCCCTACTTGGTCACCTACCTGGCCCTACAGACCCAGGTTCTAGGCTGCAGAATGTCTTCCTGGGACTCGGGTCACCGTCAGTAAAGAGTGGGGTCACTGCTGGGGGCTAAGTGAGCAAAGAAATAACCGCCCCACTAGAGCAGACTTGGCCTCTTCATAGTCCCTCACCACCTCTGGTAATAGAGATGCATGTTACTTCTAAGAAAAGGCTCCAGGGCACAGACCACGTCCAGAATGAAACAGCACAGTATTCGACCTGTAATCAGCAAACTCTTTTAAGTCTGTGGCAGTTTAGAAAGCTGTGCAGAGAGGGTCCTGAGCCCTATCCCCAACTCCTGGGTGATTCCCAAGGCAAGAGAGCCTGATTCATTTTGCGAGACTGGGGCCAAGTCTTCAAAAAGGTACAGAGGCGGGGCTTTGTGGCATACAACAATAATTTCAGCGACTCGGAGTCAGAGGCCAATCTGGGCAATTTAGCGAATTTATTAGTCTCAAAATAAAAAATAATGAGGGTTGTGGAAGTAGCCTAATGGTAGAGCACTTGCTTAGCATGTGCAAGGCCTTGGGTTTAATTCCCTGTGCCAAACAAAGGAGCTGAGGCTGGGAGATACCAGGAGGTGTGGAAAAAAGCCTAAACCTCTAGGAGGCTCAGAAAAGCTGCCTCTTCCATCGTGCTGGGAAAACTGCTGTCCCTCTGCAGGGACTTGGAGGCTCCCAGTCCCTCAATGACTGACCAACCCACCCCAGAATCCCGCGGGCTCCATCAATGCCCATCCTGAATGGCAGAAAAGAGGCCTTGAGAGAAGGGGACTTTCAGAGGGCTTCCCGGAAGCGGTGCCGCTGTAGGGTCTTGAAGAACAAGAAAGAAGGAGGGGAGGATCCCCGCGGTAGGACTGACACCTAAGGCGTCTCCCAGGTGCCGGCCTGGACTGTGGGGATACCAGAGTATCAAAAGGCCCAATTCCTCCCTGCCACTGCTTCCTCCCCCAGGGGTGTTTCGCCCTACGACCACCGGCCCGGAATGCAATGTGTTGTTACAACTCCCCCGCCGACTTTCTACCCTTGTCCGAACCTTAGGTAAGTCTGAAGCGTACACATTCATTTACACATGCGCACTGGAGACTGTTCCCTTAGTGCCKTGGAGGTCGGGGGAGGGGACTAGTTGGCGTGGAAATTGTCCGATGTGATGCAACGACAGGAAGATGCCACCAGGAGGAGCTAGTGCCATGGGGAAACCAAAGCTGGCAAGAGATAAAGGACCCTAGGAGAGAGCAAGGCCAGAATTGAGGGATTATGGTTGGCAGTGGGTTGAGAGTCAAGGGCATTGCGTTCGAGGCTTTACGTAGAAGAAGAAGTCTTAGGAATGTAGAGGGTTTCAGAAACTTAACAGTAGAACCTGAGGTCAGGAGGTCAATGTGGGTCTGGTTGGAGCCCAGAGTCAGTGCTAGAAGTAAAATATTGGGGTAAAGTTAGCATTGAGAATTAGAGTCAGAAGTTCACCTTGATATATGAAGGTCCAGAAGAGCTGGTCCCTCTCTCCCTACAGATGGGACACAAGTCACTTCAAGAAGACCGGTGGTCCCCAGAGAAACAACTATATTGTCCACCCTGAGTTTGTGTCTGAGACCTATCCTAACTACTATTGCGACTACCCTTGCTGGTAGAGTCTGGGCTGGCCAGGTCGATGGGATGGAGCAATAAATAAACTCTCCACCCCAAATGCTGCCTCTTGTGTCCTTACCCAACAGGATCTGAAAGTAAGGAATCAGTTTCTCAAAGTTGCCCATCCTTGAACCCTCCCTACTCCCATCTCAGTATTTCTGACACATAAGTTACCCTATTAGCTGGTGTCCCCTTCCCCTCCACCCCAGAACCCAAACTAATGGGTCCATCTAACCAGGCAGGGAGGATCCATCTACTTCTCACCCCCACAAAAACCCTCCAGCCGACAGCTCCTCAATGTGCCCCAAACTTAGATGCCAGCCTATATCTCAGAGGAACAGAATCCTCCTTTCCACAGTAAAAGCTGTATCCCTACACTCAAAACACTTGCTCCCTGCTCCTGGAGTCTCCATTACAGCTTCCCAAAAGTCATCTCAAACACCCTTGCTGCCCTCCCCAACACAAGTCCAAGGGTCTAAAACATAATTTTTGAGGATATCATAACCAAGAAATTTCAAATAACCAAGACCGGTTTCTAGTCCCTCGAGGAGCAAGGGGTGGGGTGAATCACCAGAATCTTCAGTATTTTCCTTTCTCTCAAAGAGATGATATCTCAGAGTCTTGCACCATCCCTCACTCCAGGAGAAGGGGTATGGTGGGGCACTCCCACCTCTCCAAAGCACAGACATTTAACTAAAGGCTGTCTATCACTAGGAGGAGCAGCTGACCCTATAAATAACTAGGGTGGGAAGGTGACAGAGAGACTTGGTAAAATAACTGAGCAGAAACCAGTCTTCTCAGTCCCTGATCTTGGACACCACTGATCCGGTCCAATGAGAACCGAAAGTTTAGGCCACTGACTGTGTGAACTACAAGCCCTGTCCTTGGGGCCCTTGATGGGAATTATCCTGCAGTGGGAGCTGACATCTTCCCAATATTGCGCTACTTCTTTTTCCATATGAGAAAACAGAGCCTCCCCAAACCTGGAGGGGACTGAACCCAAAGGCCAGCCCTGCCCCTTTATGTCGAAGCTTATTTTCTCACTCTCATAATTATCCCAAACCTAGCCTGGAGGTGCAAGAACCCCAACATTCTTCAGAACTACATTACCCAATAGGCCTGGGGCAAAGACCCGCCCGCTCGAGGGTAAGAAATGGCCCAGAAAGGGCGGGTCCTCAAGCCCAAGAACGAGCCCGGAGGCACCCCAGCTGGAGGCGGGCCTGAGATGCCAGGGGCTTAGAGTAGAGTAGAGCTGCGGGCGTGAAGGTGGAGGCTAAAGGGTGAGGCTTTGGATCCTCTTGAAAATATGGGGGAAGTGTCGGGCGCTAAGGGTGGGGCTGGAGCCAGAGGCCCAAGAGAGATTGGACGACTGGGGCGTGGTGGAGTAGTCCGAGGGCGGGGCCGGAGGAGGGACTCAACTGAGCCCAGCGAGGCTGCTCCCAGCGCGGCGGGGTGGCAGCTCAATTCCTGCTAGCGTGGAGGGGGTCTGCAGAAGGATCCTTTCACTCCCACCTTTACCCGGCGGCCACAGCCGTGAGTGAATCCAGCGGAAGGACCTCGGGACGATGCGGGTAGGGGGACTGCTGAGGGAGCACTATTTCTGAACTTTCGATCTTACAGAAGAGTAGGTGGAGCGATCCTGGACACCTGGGCACCTCCTCGAGTCCAAGGTTCCTAACAGACGGCAGGTCCCATGACCTCCGTCTGCCCCTTTGAATAATGAAATTGCGGTGGGGCGCTGAGAGTGGGTGTGGAGTATTCCAGGCGGTGTAGGTGCAGTCACTCGATCCTCACGGATCCTGCAGAGGAGGGAGATGGGCCGGATCGAGTTGCCTTTGACATTTCCACCCGCCCCATCCCCCAACAAACGTCTCTGAAATGGCCCCCACTCAGTTGAGCCAAGCTGGGCTCTCTCCCTCAGACCAGACCAGGGGCTGGAAGCCAAGACTGCGGTTGAATGTCGAGCGGGAAAAGACCCAAGAAGGCCCGACCCGCAGACCCCACTTGCTTAGCATTAGCCTGTGGTTGGCCATTGGCCAGATGGTGGAGGCGGCAGATTACAGGGGTCTCTGATGACTTCGCACCCGAACCACAGAGTTCCTACCCCACAGCCCTGGTAGCAGATATCATTAAAATGGCTCCTTTCAAAGAAAAATTGTCCCTTTCCCACCTTTAGAATCTTTCTGGTTGGCCCAGAGCAATCCACAGCACCAACCTTTAAAAGACGCCTCACCATGCCCACTCCCATCTGATGGAAGCCTGCTGTGCATTTCAGGTAACCAAATCAGACCATTATCTCCCATCTCCCAAAATACGCTGTGGAGAGTGGAGGTAGGAATTTGGAAGCAGACTTATTGCCTGGGTGACTTCAGACAAGCCCCTTTGTCTCTTTGAGCCACTGTTTCCTCATCTGTAAAATGGACACTAACCTACCTCTGCCATTCCATATTATCGTTAGGGTTAAATGTTGTGGTACATTTGGGAGACCAGAATGGTGCCCAGCAGAATGGGTGCCTAGGTCAGTTGGCTCCTGCCTGTCATCAATGAAGACAAAATTTTTATTCTATTTATTTATTTATTTATTTTGACTGGGGATTTAAGCCAGGGTAGTTTTACTACTGAGCTACATACACCCTCATCCTTCTTATTTTTTACTTTGAGACAGGGTCTCACTAAGTTGCTGAAGGCCTTGCTAAGTTGCTGAAGCTGGCCTGGAACTTGGAATCCTCCTGTCTCAGTCCCCATTGGCTGGGATTACAGGCTTGGGCCACCTGACCCTGCATCAAAAAACTTTAGGATTCAAAAAGTTAAGATTCTCAGAACCCAAGTGTTAGAAATTACTTTTGAGGCATTTGAGGTCACTAAGGTGGGCAGGCTCTTTATACCTCCAAGAGTCATGAAATCAGGCTGATAATATAAAGTTTTGAGGATGAGGACGTCTCTGTCCTATTTAGATATGAAGCCTCTCACCTATTCCCTTAGAGCCCAGAAAAGAAGTCATGATTGTCTTAAACTAATGAATATAGCAAATATGGACTGGTCCTCTAAAGCCTTCTTGGGATTCTGCTCAACTTTGAGCATGTCAGAAAAGGCAACTGCATGCATTTTCCAGGAGAACTTTTCTAACCTGTACTAATAGGAAGTGAGGAGCAAAACTAAGTTGTGTGTGGGGCTGGGGATGTGGCTCAAGCGGTAGTGCAATCGCCTGGCATGCGTGCGGCCCGGTTCGATCCTCAGCACCACATACAAACAAAAGATTTTGTATCCGCTGAAAACTAAAAAAAAATAAATAAATATTTAAAAAATTCTCAAAAAAAAAAAAAAGAAACTCTTTAAAAAAAAAACTAAGTTGTGTGTGCTTAGAGGAAGTGAAAGAGGCTGTTCTAGGCCAGGGAGACTGAAAAATTTAGGAATTGGGGGAGGGAGCAACTTGAGGGAAGGGTATGGAAGGTGCTATGTATTGACATCTACAATCAATATTCTGATCATCACCTGGCATTCTTGATATTTCTGTGAGGGGAAGCTAAAAGAGTTAAAGAATCTGAGTAGTTCCAGCATTTCCTTGGAAGTCACTGGAGACAGACACAGACACTGGCATCTGGAAGGAAGCTAATTACTGTTTGCCAGTCTCCATCTCTTCTTCACCCCAGCTGGAGCAGCTAGGCAGCCAGCTAGCTGTCAATGTATCTGCCTGTGTGGTGGTGTTTCTTTATTGAACTCTGCCCTGAGGGTTGGGAACAGAAAGGATCATTGACCTTGAGCAGCAGATTCAGACACAAACTTTCCCCCAAGCCTGTATTTCTCTACAGTCATATCCAGATGTTCAGCATATAGTATGTGAAATTTTATATGTGTGGTGGTCAGTCTGATCACTAGAGAGCTTGCAGGTGAAGGAGAGTTACCAGGCCGAGTGTGAAATCTTCTGAAGCAGGTGGCCTGAAAAAATTTAGATTGAGAGAATGCACTTGATAAGTCACTGGACAGGCCTGGCTGGAGATAGAATCAGAAAGGTAGCTAAGGAATGTCTTGAACCTGATTTCAAAGCTTGCAGATCTGAATTTTACCATGAGCATCTCTTGAAGTAAGCACAGATGTGGTTTGATAAGTGCTTTAGAAAGATCACTTTAGTTGTTGTGAGCAGAAGACACTAGAGGAAAAGAAGTTGGGGGTAGGGAGACCTACTGGAGAAGTGTTGCAATAATATAGGGGAGAAGTGACAGTATCCAAACTAGGGCAGGGACAGCAGTACAGAGGGTAAGTGGTAGAGATAAAGTTAGGAAGCAGGTGATGCACAGATGTTATGTTTGGAGCAAAGAAAGAAGGTAGGCAGAGAAATGGAATTTTGGTTAATGATTCAGAACTAGGTGGGGTTTGATGGCAAAGGGGCTGATTTGAGAAGGCATATCCTGACCCCAGCACTAACCCCTGCCTCCCTTTAAACCAAGCCTTGGGATTGAGTCTAGTTTTGGACTATCTTCTTTTTTTTTTTTTTTTGAGAATTTTTTAATATTTATTATTTAGTTATCGGCGGGTACAGCATCTTTGTTTGTATGTGGTGCTGAGGATCGAACCTGGGCCGCATGCATGCCAGGCAAGCGCGCTACCGCTTGAGCCACATCTCCAGCCCATGGACTATCTTCTTTAATTTCAAAATGTCATCTGGCTTCTAACTCAAGATAAAATTCCATGCCTGAGCTGTCTCCTCTTCCTCCTTTCCCCTCTGGGTACAGGGAAGCTATCCTACTGCCCTGTTAAAACTCTCAAGGAGCTGGTGCAGTGGCTTACCCCTGTAATCCCAATTATTGGGTCTGCTGAGGCAGGAGGATTGCAAGCTCAAGGCCAGCCTGAGTAACTTAGTGAGATCCTGCCTCAAAAATAAATGAATAAATGGGTTAGGGGTACAGCTCAGTGGTAAAGCACCTCTGGTTTGAATTCCTGATATGGGGGTTCTCAAGGAACTGGCTGGACCATACCCCTCTCTTACCATGGCCTTGCCTTTGGGAGACAAGACTCCATTTCCATCCCTC